TTTTGCTGCCTTCTTCCATCTTTATCCCCCATCTCAAGGTTCTTATATTAATCAGATATGCAAACCCCCTTCGGCTATGTAATGCACCATATTCACAGGTTCTGGAGATTAGGACATGATATCTTGCAGGGAGAGATTATTATCCTACCTACCACACAAGGAAACCGAGGTTGCTTCATGTTTGCACAACCACTGTGTGGCTTGAACATCTTACACAGTGCTTCAGCCCAGCAGGCAAGGGTGAAGCAGGGACTAGGTAGAAAATATCCCCTAACTTCTTCTCATGTCCTGTCTGCTTGCCTGTACGTAATAATTGGGTTTTCTGTACCAGGATTTGGGAGGTTGAACCAGACAGAGGAGAGGAAGGATTTTGAGTTGATTTCCTAATACCCAACACTCATCTAACAATTTGAACAAATGCCTTTCCTCTGCCTATTTTTGGGAAGTTTAGGGAAGAGATACAAAGGGAAGAAGAGGAAAGAGGAAAGTGGGAGCAATAATGTGAATCCATTAAAAGAAAAACAGCATGTTTTCCCCCTTTCGTAAGAACTCAATCCAAGAAGGCTCCATATTTGGGGTGGGGTAAAAGAGAGGAAAAGCCTGGCTCATTTGAGTCATTTATTGGATGTCATTATGTATCACACACAATGCTAAGTGATTCCACAAACCTTTCTTAATTCTTTAAACTAACCTATTTAATACAGGTGTGTAGTTATTATACTTGAAATGAGGAAACTCAGGCTCGCAATTGTGGTCATGTACCTAGGGGAACTAGTGACAGAGGTAGATATAAACTTAGATAGGCTGGCTACCCCAGTCCAAGAAAATTTCCTCTCTCTCACTGCATTTAGTACATTTTCACACCATCAAAGACATATCCAAGACTGGATAATTTATAAAAGAAAAAGCCTTAATTGACTTACAGTTCAGCATGGCTGGGGAGGCCTCAGGAAACTTACAATCATAGCAGAAAGTGAGGCAAACACATCCTTTTTCACTTGGCAGCAGGAAGAAGTGCCTAGCAAAGATCTCGTGAGATCTCGGGAGAACTCACTCACTATCACAAAAACAAGAAGGTAACCACCCCCACGATTCAATTACCTCCCACCGGGTCCCTCCCACAACACGTGGGGATTATGGGAACCACAGTTCAAGATGAGATTTGGGTGAGGACACAGCCAAACCGTATCACCAACTTTTCCTCGCAAGAAGGCAAGACTAAGGCATGTTATATAATCCCCACACTATACCTTTCACTGTCTTTAAAGAACAGTCTTGGTGATACTGCCTACCTTTCGCAACCTTCCTTTTGCCCCAGATGTTACAGTGACTTCCTAATGAACTCTGGAGTTAACTTACCTTCTTGTAATAATTATACATTTGCTATTTCTGTACAGTCATTGTCCCCAGATTGATTTTGTTATCATTCATGCTAGTCCCTGCGTGATGACCACTGGGCTGTGAGCCTGAATTTTCGTTTTTCTTCTTAAACCACTTTATTGAAGTATGACTAAGATACAAAAAGCTGTATTTAACATATATAACTTGATGAATTTGGAGATAAGCTCTTTTTCTTCTCTTTCCTTCTTTCTTTTATAGCAGTAGGCTTCAAAAAAATAACGAAAGCTGCTAAGACTGGCCTCTGGATGAATCTTTGATAGGACTTACAGAAACACAGAGACCTAGTTATCATGCAGCTTGTCTTGCGGCCATTCCTGTCCCTTTAAGGAGTTATGGTTATCAGGAAAAAAAAAAGCCAGTTAACAAACCCTTGTTTGTTTTTGTGTTATCAACTCTAAAATGTCAGCATAAAATCCCAATACCTTACCCTATGTGACAAGGCCCTAAGTGCCTTCCTCCTGCCTAGCTCTCCAGCTGCATCTTGTCACTCTGCACTCCTTACTCTACTCCAGTCACATTGGCCAAGGCCTGCTGTCCCCAGATCTTGCATAACCGCCCTCACACATCTGCTCAAAGTTCACCTCCAGTCTTCGTATCACAATCCCCATGAGCTACGAGCACTTGAAATGCGTCTAGTCTGAACCGAGATAGCTGGAAGTATGAAATATACAACGGATTTTTAATGACTTAGTTGAAATAAAAGAATGCAAAATACCTTATTAATAATTCCATATTTATTGCCTGTTGAAATATTTAACATATGTTGGGTTATTATGAAAATGAATTTGACCTGTTTCTTTTTATTTTATTTTTTGAGACGGAGTTTCACTCTTTTATCCAGGCTGGAGCGAAGTGGTTAGATCTCAGCTCACTGCAACCTCTGCCTCCCGGGTTCAAGTTGCGATTCTCCTGTCTCAGTTTCCCGACTAGCTGGGATTATAGGCGCCCACCGCTATGCCCGGCTAATTTTTGTATTTTCGTAGAGACAGGGTTTCGACATGTTGGCCAGGCTGGTCTCCAACTCCTGACCTCAGGTGATCACCCACCTCAGCCTCCCAAAGTGCTGGGATTACAGGCATGAGCCACCATGCCCGGACCTCTTTTTACATTCGATGTGGCAATTGGAAAATTGAAAATTACATTCATGACTCACACTGTTTCCATTGGACAGCGCTGCTCTATGGAATGACCCTTTTTTGCAGCCTTCCTGGCAATTTATGTTGTGGAATTTCAGCATCCGGGCTCACCTGGTCAGTGACCTTCTCACTCAAGTGGAATGTACCACAGGAACCTTGCCTGGCTCATCCACACCTGCTTCCCAGGTACTCAGGCCGGGGCCTGGAGCACAGTAAGTCCTTACTAAATATCTTTTGAATGGATGACCCTACTCTTCTCAGATGGAGACATAAATTCTGTCGGGTCCCAAAACACGCGGTCTAAAGTCCTTTGGGCTCCTTCAGCTGCCAGCACTGACCATATGCTCTTGACCCTGGCAGGGGCGGCGGAATGAGGAATCCGGATAACTTGATAAAACTTCCTCCATGGACAGAACTGGTCACACAACCGTAGAGTTGACTCTGGCTGAGAACCCAGGCTCCCGGGCCCTCTTTCCCTTGGTGACACGTCCCTCGGCCCCTTACTGGCACTTCTCCCTCTGGCCACACGACGGCGTCTCGCGGGAGTGCAGTGGCCGATGGTACAGTCCGCTTTTTCCCCCGCGCCCTTGGACAGTGGGTCCTTCCACTTGTAGAAAAGCATTGTGGGAGGGCAGCGCGATCTTTCTTCGCTTTGGTGCTGTGCTGGTGTGGTGCTGTGCGGGGATCCCTGGGATGGCGCGTAGCTGTGGCCGGGTGGCCTCTCACGCTGTGGCGCCGGGCGGGGTAACGCGGCCACCCTGAGCCTGGTGAGGCGTCTGCGGCAGCTGGACTGTGTCCGAAGTGTCCCGGGCGGTGAACGCGTGGAGGGCAGCGGCCTAGCCTTGGCTACGTTTCGGGGGGATCTCGGGAGCGCCTGAGGCGGCCTCAGGCCTGCGTTTCCGCATCCCCTTGCTTGGAAACGGGGAGCTTAGTGGATTTGAGTTTAGAATCCTCGACTGTATGCCATGGAGTTTTATATAAGCGACGTTTTATTTTCATTAGTGAAAAGGCCTTGCCGGATAACTGCCTTTATGCCTGCCCTGCCCCCGTGCAAAGTAGCTTAAAAGCAGAGTGCCTGGTTACAGCTGTTTCCAGGTGCGGTACTCGGCGGGAGTGATCACCTACCCTGCGGGTGAGTTTTCACTTTGGTGCAGACCAGTCGCCATCTAAAACGCATTACATTTAAGTTTTCATTACTAAGTCAGGTTTTAAATTGTGAGAAAATTTCTCCGAAATGTATTGTTCGTTTTTAGGCTGTTACAGAAGATTACCGTCAGCCAGTCAGCAACCTTATGCCATAAAAGCTGACCACGCGATGTCAGGTAGCCTTTGTGTTGCCCATTCACTTTGGAAACTAGTGAATGTGGTGTCAAAAAAGGCGTAAATGAAACGCTTTGCAGCCTTTTCCTGCCCTTAAATTTGGTATCTTTGGTGTAGGAGCTGCATAAGTAACAGTTAATGCTTTTACGTTTACACGCGTCGTGATCTTGACCCTGCCGGCCGTAGGTGTATGGTTTCTCTTAACCAGTTTTAATTTTTGTTCAGGTGTAAGATGGATGCCTGAAGTGTAGACTGCTGCTAGCTGAATACCATCTGGGAACACAAAGGTGGCCTAAAGGTAGAGTGATGTGTCACAAAACACTTTGTAGTGGGAATTTTTATCACTTTTTAAATGGGTGCCTTCTCTAGTGAGTATTAACGTTAGCGGTTTATTCGTAGTGTTGCTGTCTGTAGCTACAGTGAAGTTAGCAAATGGGACAGGCTCCGCAGCTTATTTTGGGAAGGTTTTGCTGATACTTCCTGAGAAGCCCAGGGAAATGAATATGCATAGTAGTGGTATTCTCGATCTCTTGAAATTTTTGTGTGTAGTAATTGAGTTTTTAAAAACCTTGTCAAATCGCAGGCATATTAATTACCAAGTTCTTGATTAAAATGTAACACAAAAATATTTGCCGTCGAATTGAGTACTTTATTTTTTCTCTTAGGATATCCTTCGTGAGGAGTTTGAAAATTTGATCTTCACAGGAGTTGCTCGGATGATTTAAAATTTCGAGGAGTCTGAGGAGTACTGCCATAATTGCCTGCTGGAGTTCATAAATAGACATTTAAGACAGTGAGGATATGAATAAATATATTAATACACTTTGAGATTTGTGTTTTGAGTGATAAACTGCCAGAAAACAGCTATTTCTAAAAAGTTACAAGGGGTGGTTCTTTTTTTCAATACTGATTCACTGCTGTCAGCCATAATTAATAGCCTTAACAATAGCTTGTGTTTGGCCCAAAGAGAAATGTACACCTTCCAGTGGCTGAAAAATTATGGCTAGAACTAGACTGGCTGATTTCTAGGTCACAGGTGTGCTTTACTGCACTCAATGCATGTATTTTTTTCTCCAACTAGATTGTACACTTAACGTTGGCCTATCTTTTGCCTTCACTTTGCAGGAAACAGTAAATAGTGTATTCAGGTATTCAAAAAATTTATTAAAAGGACTGTACTAATAGCTTAGAACACGATGATGAGCACAACACAGTTCTTCCCTTTGAAAACAGCAGAATGAAGGGAATGTCATCACAAATGTAAAACTTCCACTGTGAGATGAGTTCCATGATAGGATGTTCTTAGGGAATCCTGAGAGAGCAGAGTTGAGATTAAAGGTATGTGTCATTTTTGTCACGAGGCAAAATTGAGGGAATGACATATACACAGGCTTGGGCTAGAAAAAAAGATGACCATAAGTCCACTTACACCTGTGACAGTTTTGGTTGCTTTCCCTCTTCAGTACCCTGTTTTACAATTGAGTGCTTAATGAGGTTCATAATAGGGTTATTAAGGGAGGTGGGAGTCTTCCAAAATGAGGCTGAAGAGGTAGGTAAAGAAGCCAGACCACTTCAGTCTCCCTCTGGCTTTATTAAATAAAGCAGGATAAATCCATGGTGGGAAATTAGATTTGCAAGAAAAGGTAGTTGAACTAAGTTGCTTACTGTTGTCTAGGTGAGATGACCAGCTTGGACTAGTGAAATAAGGTGGTTGAGGGTTTGATGACAGAGCCAACTAGTGGAGGTGTCCCTAACTGCTACGTGTCAAGCTTGCACACTGATGAGCATAATGACCCTAGATCCAGCTGGGGAGCAGCATTTAAACAGTTGAATTACCTTTGAGAAATACAAGTGGTCTTTTTGCAGTAGAACATTACTCTTGTCTAAACTACACAAATAAAACTTAAGGCTATGGGTATAAATGAGATCTGTACAGGGTAGAGGAAGAGGGCCTAAGGTGTGAAGTTTGAGAAAGTCCACTAATTAACAGCAAGGTAAAGCATGGAGCTAGAAAGGATGGCCAGTGATAAGAACAAAGTAGGATTACATTAAAGCAGCAAAAGAATGTCCAACATTCTCCCTGGGATTAAGTGACACAGTGGTTGAATGGAGTAGTGGGAAAGAATCTGTATTAGAGATAGCTTAAGATAGGGATTAGATGAATGAGGGCAATGACTTGGAATTTTTTCTTGCAAGAAAATTGGCTCAAGAGTGAGAGGAAAGTCATAGTTGCTAGAGGGGGATTTCTGGTTGTGAAAGAGAGTTTTGTTTAAATCTTAGTCTTAAATTTAAAACCAAGTATCAAGGATCTAGCTGAGAGAATGATTGAATACATTAATATAGGAGGAGGAGGAGAGATGCTGAAAAGGTTGGAAGAGATGGCATCCGAAGCACAGGTAGAGAAACAAAAAGGTTAGGGCTGCTGGCAGCTGTGGAGAGAATTGTATGTGGTAAGGGGGACATGTAAGAGGGTCCTGCCTAAGTATTTTCCCTGTAAAATCATCTGTGGGGAGGAAAGGTCCAAAATAGAGGAGAGCAGGTGAGTTAGATGACCAAGCAAGGTGGATGGGCCATTTGAGGTTTGGGGTGAGACATCAACTGAAATCCACTTAGACTTCTGAAAACACAGGACAAGAACACTTGCAAATTAACAACACTTAAAGCTTTTTACATCATTTGTAAATAACTGGTGGAACTTAACACCACAAAATACAGTATTATAAAGAATATATGAATAAAAATATCTGCAGTCTAAAAGTGATGCCTCAGTACTTCTGCACCTGGGTGCTAGCTGAGAACCAACCCAGAGGTGGGAGGACTTCCACTTATCCTATTGCACAGCAGGCTAGCTGCAGTCCAGAATTCCAGAGCATTCATCAGATGCATCTGGTCTTGGTTGTGGACACAGACACATGATACTCAGAAATGAATGACTGCTTTCCTGTTCCAAAAAGGAAAATGTGGTTTCAAGTGAATTGTTTAAAAAATCCTTATTCCAGTTAAAACAAAATGGCCCTTCAGCATAACTGTATTGTGTTAAACCATGCCTAAAATCTCAGCACTTTGGGAGGCCCAGGCAGGCAGATCATGAGGTCAGGAGTTTGAGAGCAGCCTGGCCAACATGGCAAAATCCTACCTCTACTAAAAACCAAAAGAATTAGCTGGGTGTTGTGGCACACACCAGTAATCCCAACTGCTCAGTAGGGTAAGGCAGGAGAATTGCTTAAACCCAGGAAACTGAGATTGTGCTAAGCTGAGATAGCGCCACTGCACTCTAGTCGGCAACAGAGTGATACATCTCAAAAAAGAAAAAGGGAAAAGATATGTATTTTCTTATGCTGAAGAAATACTTGCAGGTCTGAGATTTGAATTAAAGTAGTTCACAGTTTCAGAAGAACCAGTGGTTCACACAACCTTCCCACACCATCCTTGACCTGTCGTCATGATCAGGTCTCTGTCTTGAGGCGGGAAGCTTGGATAGTTTTTATTGTTTTTGCTGTGTGTTTTCCAGCCAGGTTGCTTGCAGGTGTCTGAGATTTTTCTTCCATCAGGCTATCTTTAGACCCATTTCTTCTCTAAAATAAAAATAAAATATATTTGAAAAACACAGAAAGATTCAGAAGAAAACAGCCAAGTGAAGTATTTTAATTGCATCAGAAACCAAGCTGCTTAAGAAACCGATTTGTAAAATTGAAAAGTTTCATAATACCAAAAGCTATCCAATAAATGTTCCCTCTAAACAGTTAATTGTGCAAAATAAAAGTATTTAATATTTGTTTAATATACAAAGTCTGACATTGACATGCATAGTGATTTCGTTCATGAATATTAGGCATAATTCACCCAAATCAGTGTCATTATTTTTGTTAATAATTCCCAAACCAGGCTCTCAACTTTCCCACTTTTACAAACAGGATAATGATGGAGAGTTGAAGGCAATTTATAATCTCCTGATTACATTTTCAGTAGTCAATGAATGAAACAATGTCTTGGGAGTTCCTATCACTCTTGGCTCAAAGGGAGAAATGGCGGCTGAGTTACCAGAGGCTGGGCACCACCATCCACTACTTTGTAAAAAATAGGTCTTACACAGACAGCCATAAGTGGAGGCTCTGAGAATGACACTAAAAACTGCTCCCTTTTATGCTAAACCCCCCTGCCCTTACCTCCAAATGATGGCCTAACATTGTCAGTATATCAGGCTAGCAATTTCCTTCCCCAAATGTATATTCCCACAAATAATGGGCTACACTGTCCCAATCTATTTTGAGATTTGTTTGAGCTCAACAAAAAAAAAATAATCACCTTTTAAAAATGCAGTTATCTTTAATCTCTTCTATGGCTGGCTTAATTTGTTTTACTGACATTCAAAAAACCACTGAAGGAATAACTATTCTGCCCAACATGGGATGTATGAATCAGTCTATTTGGGATGGAATATTTCTAGATAGTCAGAAGTGGGAAGAGGACACCAGTGCATATGAGAGAAGAATACAACAGAATAACCAGAAACAGTGCTAGGAGAGGACCTGAAATAAATACTATGTTGTAAGTTTGTTTGGGATTGAATCTGCTCTGCAGACCTTAAATTAAGTTGCTATTCTTCCCAACTCTTAGCAGCCTTTGCATAAAAAGGCAAAGTGAGGTGTAGAGCACATCACTGCCAGAACTCTGGTGGCATTGCAGTGGAAATTAGAACTAAAAGTTGCATTAGGAAATGCAACCCTCCAGCTTCCATTGGTCACTCCAGCCCCTTCTCCGAATGGCAGCCAATGAGTAGATTCTTTTTAGCACTTGGAATAAAACAGTAAGATCCAAACTCTTCCTGCAGCCTTTAAGGCCTTGTGTTATCCGCCTTTCCCCTCATGCTCAGTCCATGTTGGTCTTTCAGGTCCTCAAATACCCAGGCCCTCTCCAGAGTCAGCATTTTCCCCATGTTCCTCCCTCTGATTACTCAGCCTTCCACCCACTCAATGGCTGGCTCCTTCTCACCTGCCAGGTCTCAGCTTTAAATGCCACTTTCTGAGATGGCCTCTGACCACCCTAAATATGTAGTGAAGTCATTTTGCTGCTTCTCTAGCTCATGCTTTTGCTTCTTCATAATGCATACTTCTATTTGTTTTACCTGTTTACTTCTATGCCTACACTTCTAGGCTAGGGTCATCACACTCTTTTACAAAGAGCCAGACTGTAAACTACATCCTGTCTGTGTCACTTGTTACTGTTTTGCTTTTAAACAACCCTTAAAGGGTTTTACAACTTTAAAAGGTGTAAAAACCTTTTACTGACTTCTGAGCTGTACAAAGACAGGCAGCAGAATAGATTTGGCCCTTAGGCCATGGTTTGCTGACCTCTCAGACCAGTGCTTGACACTCCTTAGATAGGCTCACTGGATATTTACTGAATCCAAAATCACATTTCCTGGAGACAGGTTTAGAATCAGTGCCATTGATCAGAAGATACATGTGAGTTGTTCTTGTGTGCTGCAAAGTGAAGGCTATTGTTCCAGCTTAGAATGTGTGTAAGTGTTTTAATTCCTGAGTGGAAATAAAAATTACCTCTTGTATTGAAACCAACTAAAATTTAAGACAAAAAAATACTGAAAGACAACTGCTTATTAATCATCACAATGACCCTAGGAGGTAGGTTGTCTACACTGTATAAAAATAGAGGCTTGGAAGTTTAGCAATATTAAAGTCACACAAGTAGTACGCAGAGAAGAAACACAAATGATTCCAGTCAGAATGGAAAGCCTAAACTTAATCATGAATATAATTTTGAAAAAGTACTGTCAACTTTAAACCAATTGTCTAGCTCTCCCAGGTTGATCTCATCAAATATTAGGCAGACTGTAGTAGAAGCTGTGTTTACCTCTCAGATCTCCATTCTAGACTGAGGTATTCATTCTCCAGCTGCTGCGAGTATTGCCTGCCATGTAGCTCAAAACTGAGCCCCTCCCCAGGAACTGCCCTCAGCTGAAGAGAACCCCTCTCCCAAAACATCCCTTACCCAGTGACTGCTATGGGGTGAATGAATGTGTAAAGGGTCAGCCCCCTAGTCTCAAGGTAGGATGCATAAGAAAATACTTATCTTCTGCTTTGCTTCTTTTTTTTTTTTTTTTTAAGATGTATCACTGTCACCCAGGCTCTAGCAGTGGCACCATCTCAGCTCAGCACAATCTCCACTTCCTGGGTTTAAGCGATTCTCCTGCCTCAGCCTACCAAGCAGCTGGGATTACAGGCCATCTCAGCACTAGAGCTCCCTGTGGGATCAGCTCTTGCCTCTGCCCAAACCCATCTTTCACTTTTTCTCCAACAAGTGTCCATCCCGTGGGGCACTTACCCACAAGTTTCCTGCATGTAGATCTCCATTTCAGAATCTAGGGAACCTAACCTCAATTAACACAGGTCTTGCTCTAGTCATTGATAAAAATGAAAAGGGCCACATGATAGATACTGCTGGTGTCAGGCTTCTTAGGTGGTCCAAAAGCTGTATATGTGCTTACATACATTTTTATGGGGAGACAGTCAGTAGACAACTGGCTGTTCCAAAGGATCCATGATTCAAAGAACACTGAAAACCACAGCACAAACCACTGAAAACTGCAAACGAACAATGGGCTGACCCTGATCTATCAGAAACATCAACTTTGTTTTTAGAGTTTGAAAGTAGTTGTTTAATGAAACATAAATCTATCCCATTGTCTTAGCCCACATTTTTTCCCATCTTATTAAAAAATATGACATGACAGGTGGTATCAAACCCTTCCTGAACTATGTTTGCTACAGTTCTCCCCTGATTATCACATTCAGCTAAATGTTAAAGTGATTTTGTTTAGGCAGCCAGGTGTTCTGTCTGAATTCCTTTTTACATTTTAAAAACATTTCCAGAATTAAAGTAATTGTGATGGAGAAGACAGAAATAAAACAGGACTTGAGTAATTCTTCTGTCTGCTGTCAGTTAACATTGTGAGTTTATCACTTTCTCTTTGTTTCTCTGGCTCAAAATAACTGTTGTTATTGTTGCTTTTTAATTAGTGAAACAATTGTTTCTTTATTCTGGCTCCAAATGATCTTACAATCTTTGTTATCCTCAGCTCTGCCCCACTTCCTCTACCTCTTATTCCTAACTCTTCTCAGATCGTGCCAAGGTTCTTAATCATGCACTCCTCCTCCTATGATTACTACATATTCTTTTAAAATACAGAATCTCTGAATGACAATAAAGATTCATTGCCTGCCCTACTTCCCCAAAGGAACTCTCCAAAGCACAAAATGCTTCTCAAAATTGTCATCAACACAGTATCTTCTTCAAACCTTACTAATACTAACCTGATGAACTGTAGCATCCCCAGAACCCTGAGCATCTGAAGAACGGGTCACCGGAAGTGGTGGCACAAGATCCGTTTTTGAACTGCAGAAAATGAGTTTTAGAATTAGTGACTAGAACAATAACCTAGAATCAGAAATTAAGTTGGAAGACGACTACAGTGTAGATAGAAAACATTGCCTTGAGCAAAGAAAGTTATTTAGACTGCACTGTTCTGCAGCCAAGAGCCTGCCCACTTACTTCACTTCCGAGAGAACTGATCGCTCCCCATCTGAACACTGGGACCTGCGATACTGGCGGTAACTTCGTGGCGAATGAGAATGTCTGATGCGGATTGGGTCACCTTGTGTCCTGAACAAGCAACCAAGAAACATGGGAAAAAACGCCCAAAGTCAAAAGAGGAAAATTAGGAGTTCTGCCTTAATACTGAAGTAGCAAAAGAATAACAACTTTCAGAATTTAAAAAAAAATTTGACTCCTCTGGGCTTTGAAAGCCTGAGTGACTTAAATTTCACAAGAAAAGTGCTCCCTGGAGTATATGTGAAAATGAAGCTCTTTGTAGTATGTGTCTATGTATATTTTTTAACCACCCAATTTTAAATGAAATTATTCCTCACAGTAGAATTCTTTTTAGTAGTGTGGAAGAAACAAAAATGTATAATGCAGACAAAATGGCATTCCTAGTGGAAAAAGTTGGTTCACTGTCCTAGCTACTAACATTAAGAATTCAGTCTTTACTTGAAAATTGCTAAGAAAGTAGACCTTAAATGTTCTTTTCATAAAAAAAAAAGTATGTGATATATTAGCTTGATTTCAGCATTTCACAATGTATACATATATCAATCACATTGTACACTGTAAACATACACAACTTTTGTTGGTTATACCTTAATAATTAAAAGAAGAATTCTAATCTTTGACTTAAAGATGGGCACAGAGGGTGGCTGGGGTATACCAACCTGCTATTTAACTGTGGTGGGAAAGCAGCATGAGCTGCAGAAGGGAAACAAAGCAGGCACTCACTTTCTCTTAACCAAGTTCTGGCAAGGCAGCAAACGGTCAACAGGTACGGTTCCTCTTATGCTGGTGATTAAAGACTCTTGCTGTGCTTTCATGAAGCCTGTTCAATGTGCTGCCTCTATGCCAAGGATTGGACTGGGCTCATATGAGAGTTTTATAGTCAACATAATTATCTTAGTGTAAAATAATGGATAAAAACCATCAATGAGTATCTCAGAAAAGAATTTATTTTAAAACTGACATTAATCAGGAAAAGCTCCCTTGTACCTACCATGTACAAATAGGTGGCTAAAAAGAGATGATAGTGATTACAGTGTAGAATAAGTAGCTTTATTGTACCCTTTTCTACCTCTTTTACTACTGTCACCTAATTTTGGTTAAAATGTAAAGACAAAGCACTACCTGGAACACAATTGAAGAATTAGTATGGATTACTCACAAGCACTAATCAAGCTTTTGTGAGGAGATTTTCAAAGGCACTCACTCTATTTTAGTGTACGGAATCTCTTTTAATTGTTCTTCTGACAATCCAGATGGATCCACAAGTTCCTTTCTACAAAGGAATAAGCAAGAAAATGATAATTGTGGTGCGGGTATAAATGCCAGTATCTTTCACAATTGGCAGGTGAGTTTTCCCTTTCTAATCTTGTCCCAAAACAGTATTAGTAAAACTAATAAAAAAATAAGCCAGAAGCAAAGATTTAAAAACTAAAAATGTATTTTAAGGAAAAACAGGAGGGGTAAAACCTTTTCTGTAGCTCTTTGCTGTCTTTGAATTCTTCTGCAAAAGAGCTGCTTCTCTCCCTGTGGTGGGTGTCTTTTTTCTTCTGGATTTGTTTTCCTTGGTATTTATTTGTAAATCAGTGGCCTGTTTGAGGTGCATTTAGAGGTGAGACTAAATGACCCTGGACGAGGAGGTGTCCGGGCTGCCTGTACATAGGCTGTTGATATGGTAAGGCACCACCATCATGTGCTCCATGTGCCTGCCACACATGGTGGCAATGACTTGGGCAGGCTTCACATTGAGGCAGCCTCTCAGTACCAGGGTCTTTCTTGTAACTGCATTAAAACTACATGGGTTTTAAAACAATGAGAAAGAAAAACTATTACTTACTGAATGTGCTTCCATAACTCTTCTTTTGCTTGGATATCAGGGCTTCTCCTACAAATGGAGAAAACAACACTCATCTCTGCAAACATCCTTCATTTCACAACCTAATAACTAACTTTAATAGTTTTCAGACTGTGAAGTTCTTATTTGCCAGCTGAGATCAGACAAGGAAAGACTGGAGAGAGAGAGCTATTGTGATCATTAGTATAAAGACACCAGCTGCTACTGCTGCTGAAGGAAAATCATAAAACTCAGTCATAACCGAGCTTCATTTAATAAAAGAACTCAGAACTGCAGGGCCATATGCTTTCCCCCTCCAGTGGTACCTATACAATGAAGAATGATTCAGGGCTTCTGTTTCTGATCCTTCCAGATATTTACAAGTAATGGTAAAAGAAGAACTCATCCTGATTCTAAAAAGCCCCAACATGATCTGTGATTACCTAGGAGAAGCAACCATCACAAGGAAAAAGCAACTGGTGGGACGACTCAGATGGCAAACTGTACCAATGACCCATCTTTCATGTTACATCTGGTGTTGCATTTCTGCAACAAAACTTAGGCCAGCAAATGCTAGAACCTATCTGTGGTCTTTATGCCCTTCTTCATCCCTATTTATGCCCTTCTCTATCCCTAACTACTGACTCTACAATCTTTTCTCCAAGAAGTATGTGAGTAGATATTATACCACTGTCTTTAACTGCCTAGAATGAAAAATTCAAAGTCAGCATTCAAGTTGTTTGTACTCTCTGTAATATCAATTATTACTCCCATGGTAGCAATGAATACTAGAACTCTATGTATTATTGCTGCAATTGTTGGCACATGATTGTTCTTCATAGTGAGAAAATAAGCTTTCATCAGTCCCTGGAAGAGAACAGAGATCTAGCAATTGGCCAAAAGAAAGAACAGTTAACAATTAAAAGCCAATGATCCTATGGAATTTTATGTGATTAATTTGTATTAGCATTTTGGGGTTCAATATTGCTTTCAGAATATGATATCATCAATGCTTTCATTTTTCTCCATTCATAAGGGCACCACTAAGGTATTCTGGTAAGGCCTTCTAAACCCACAGAATACACTAAGCTAGTTTCCAGCCACTGAATTGACCAAATGGTTTTTCCTTTGTGCAGGGGAAAAAAATGATTTGTCTATAAAGACCTTTTAATCAACTCAGGATGAGACAAAATATGAAAGGAAAAAAGGGATGAAATCTTGGTGTCAGACCAAATATGGTTTGTTAAATGTAGATGTTGTTTGTTATAAGAATAAGATTAGATGTGGTTTGGTGGCTCAAGCCTGTAATCCCAGCACTTTGGGGGGTTGAAGGGGTGGATCACTTGAGGTCAGGAGTTCAAGACCAGCCTGGCCAACATGGCAAAACCCGTCTCTACTAAAAATACAAAAAATTAGCTGGGTATGGTGGTGCATGCCTGTAATTCCAGCTGCTTGGGAGGCTGAGGCACAAGAATCCCTGAACCTGGGAGTGGAGGTTGCAGTAAGCCAAGATCACACCACTGTACTCCAGCCTGGGTAACAGAAGGAGACCCTGTCTCAAAAAAAAATTGTATGTTTTTAAAAAAATCATAGAAACTGTTTCTGTGGTATCCTGTATGGACTCTGCCTTTCCTACATTTGGTTGGTCTGATTTGCTAGATAATATGTTAACCCCATTAAATGATACTGTCAGACAAGGTGCTAATATTAACACAGAATGATGGTTCAGCTGTGACTATATCCCAGGATCTACTTCTCACAGTCAACCAAGAGTCTGATAATATCTAGGTTAGGAAGCTACTCTACTGATAATTATTCTTATTTCAGGAAGGTATGACAGTGTGCATACCAGCTGTCTTCTAGTTACAACAGGGTTTCCCACCCTTGGCCCTAGTGACATTTTCCATACTAATTCTGTGTTGTAGGAGGCTGTCCTGTGCATTGTAGGATGATCAGTAGCACCTGTGGCTTCTACCCACTAGCTGCCAGTAGTAACCCCACCCCCACCCCACAGTGTGACAGCCAAAAATGTCTGTAGACAATGTCCCCCGGGAAGCAAAACTGCCCCCAGTTGAAAACCACTGATCAAGGGTATGACTTTGGAATTAAGTGGCAATGGCTGGGTGGTGGAAGCCACGTTATTGTAAAGATCCATTATGTGAGTAATGAAATAGGGCTGGAGAGAGAGACAGTAAAGCAGGAACTAAATCTTAAAAGAATGAGGAAAATGACCCAGGGTGCAGCTGATGACAACTACGAGAAGTAGTGAGTAGTATCATCTGAGGACATGCAAATTCGAAGGTGAATGCTTTTAGGGCAGACAGGGGGAGAATGAGAAACATTATGAGGGGCCAGGAGGACATACACCCCATGATATCAGGCCTAGTAGTGAGAGATGGTGACATATGATATCAGACTTAGTAGTGAAAGATGGTGATAATATAATGTATGAACAATACATACAAAACTGATAACATGATAACAGTGGCTATTCTGAGTGCTGGTATTGTAGGTAATTTTATTTTCTTATTTATGCTTTTCTATATTTTCTGATTTTTTTAAGCCAGGAGAATTTCTTAATTATCAGGAAAAAAAAGAGTGTTTTCATTCCCGTCTCAGAAGAATTAGAGAAATGTTATCTTAATCAGAATGAGATCATCAGTCCTTCTAGCCATAAACATTGGTTCTAAAAGATTTAGGAGTTTAGTCTTTATCTTGAAGTTCTATAGCACCAGAACAGTCATATTTTTAACTAAACTAAGTTCTGACATGCCAGGAGTTTCAAACAGTTTTAAGACAAAGAAAAGTCCCAAAGCTTAAAAAATGTGAATTTCCTCTGATTGCTAGACCACCTGTGATTTCACAAATGTCAACACAAGCTGCATGTTAATGAGGAATGTATTATTTTTATGCTTGCATCTGCACACATTTAATCAATAATTTAGGATGAATTCATGATCTGCAGCTCACTGTTATGTGGATTTAGAAAGCTGTGGAATTTCAGCAGTTTTCTTAATTTGAGGTGCTTAATTATGCAGATGTTTTACTTAAACTCTCCAAGTAAATTCATAAAGAAAGGAAAAAGAACCCTGAGTTGTCCATAGGTACTTCATATATAGAAAATAAACATGCAGCCCAGTATTACTCCAGTATTTTTCAAAAACATCCCTCCTCCACAGACAAATATTTGATTTTAAATTAATTAGAGAAATTAGTTTGATGAGATATCATTCACAAATCATCTTCCTTTATTCCAAAACCCTAAAATAAAAATAACATATCATAAATCTGCAAAGGACTTAAACTCCATCACTGCATATAATCATTTTATATATCCCCCAAACTCAACTATATTATCTAAAAAATATAATATGGGCAATATATTATCCAATAATATATTTAACATGTTTTTAATTTATACTAAAAAATATGGCAGTATTTTACTTTTTTTTTTGTCCATTTTTATACTGACCATCCCTCTGAAAGGAAATTTAGAGTTGAAAATATGTAAGTTTACAAAACATCTTTATTTAAGGAATTCAGAGAACCTAACAAATATCTCAGTCATTCTTTGTCACATTCCTGCAAAATAAATCTAATTAAGAGATGTCTTACTCTTCTCCCTCCCCCTCCAAATCAAAGAAACCTCAGGAAGCCACTGAGATGAACAACCTAGCTGCTGAAGATCGCTCAGGAGTCACTTCCGGGTTGGGGGTGGGGATTCATGTTGTATCTTCACCTAATACACCAGACTTACATATTTTGTGTGTAACTGAGAATATCACCCTGGCAGCCTCATCTTCCACATACATATCAGTACTTTTCAACAAAATAGTATGACGTTATCACCACCAGAGGGAGCCCGAGCCTTCTCTTGCACCCACGTTTGACCTTACCAAAACTATTGTTTGGGCTTTAACGTCTTCCAAATATCCCACTGAGTAAAGAAAGGTTCACCCATGTAGAATAGCAGGTTGAACAAAGCTTTTTTCCTAGTGATAAACTGTAGCTTAAAAATGTATTAATAGAACTGTACTTCGTAAAGTTTTACCAGACGAGATCTAATCATATTTCAGCTTAACGTTTTTAGGAGAAAAGGGTTTTGTATTTTATACTACTCTGTGTCTCTGGTATTTAATAATGAACTGGATTTTCTAGCTATTTATTAGGAGTTAAACACTCACAAATAAATAATAATGTATCATAACATTCTGATCCTTAATAGATAATTTATATATACTGCAGCAGGAATTTAAGAATTTGGGAGTAATGGAGACATCAGTGGTTTACTGTACATCTGAAATGCCAAATATACATATTTGTATATAGTACATATGTTTTAATACATTTTCTGCATTCTGTATATATCTGAAGGTGTGTGTGTGTGTGTGTGTGTTGTGTGCGTGCGCATGCACATCTTAAGAATAATTTTAATTGCTTTCCTTGAACACTGCCCTAGCCATGTTTCCATTTTTTTCTAAGAGATGGGGTCTCACTATGTCTCCCAGACTTACCTTGAACTCCTGGCCTCAAGTGATGATCCCTCCTCAGCCTCCCAAGTATCTGGGACTACACAAGCCACCATGCCCAGCTCATGTTTCCACTTTTAAAGAAAGCTGCAGTGGTTCCTAAATTCTCACACAACCAAATTCTAGTCATTAAGGACTTTTTGTGAATTGGCTTACTCTACTCTCTCCATTTCTCACCACCTCCTCATCTCAAGGAAAAACACAATCAAATACCTGCAGTGTTTCTAGAGAAGATCTAAGACCTGGGGGAACTTGCTAATAGAAGTAACTGCCAATGTATTTATTCTGACACAGGCATGACCTCACTCAATGCTCAGCAAAATCCTAAGCGCATGGTGCCATCAATGTTGTAGGGAAGGAAGCTCCTGGGGATCAGATAATAAGCTCAAGATCCAGAATGCAAACAACAGTACCCAGCAGATATTTTATTAACTGTCAATAAATCTCAGGTTTTTAACAGTCATAACTCAAAGGACAGAGCCCAGTTTGTGCTATATGAAGTAATCCATCATCCTTAAGAGT